AAATATGCAATCCATTTGAATACCGCTAAGCAAACTTTATTATTGTCAACCCTTGTAGTGCTTATTGAGCCAACATTAAATGGTTCTGCCATAGGAATTTCAAAAGGTGCTGGGAGAGTATGGCATACAAACAGCCAGGAACAAGGCATGAGACTGCCTTCAGGATTATTCATGAGTTCTATTATTTCAAAGCTGGAATAGATTGGGATCCTGCTATTTTTTTTATGTGGTGAACTGTGCCTTTTTTATGCAACCTTACCTGCTGTGATGATTCATTTTGGTAGCACTGAACCCAGATCTCTAGTCTAATGCTCAGTGGAACTCAGCTTTCCCATTCCACAGGGGGTCTCATTACTTCCTTTAAATTGCCAAGTACACAACTGAAACAATATAGTCTCCAGAAAAGAGACAGACTATAAAAAATTACATTTTAGAAACGAGGTCATCCTAGAGCTATATTTGGTGGCAACAAACAGGGTTTGACAAAAATTTATGTTTAAAGCAAAAGCACCCATCATTAACTCAGATGCAAACACAGCTAAATGAAAGTACTTACCTGCTCAATTAATATGCAGACGTTATTCTGCTCTATCAAAATAACTTAATTCCTTCTCCATCATCCTACACATACTCTCAGAGAAGCTAAAATGCATAAATCCAAGGAATTTCAAAACAACTTTTCAGAGAGCCTGCAGGTAGATCAGTTTTTAATGCTGCTTTTATTTCATTTGTAGAACCTGCAGCACTTTGTCTTGTAAAAATGTAGTATCTAAACCACCCCTGAAGCCACCGGATTCCCATTCCCAACACTCCTTAGAAGAACAGGATGTAATGGCAAAGAGGAGAAAAACCTCAAAACATACAAGGGTCCCCCAGTTACCAGACTTGAATGTCTTTTGGCAACTCCTGTTTTCCAGAAAACTTCGTTTCTTACCTCATATTGTGTTCTTGGAATAAGGCAGGTGTTTTGAACTCAGTAGCACAGAAATCATCAGAGAGAGGCAGAGAGTCATGGTTCCTCTGCCAAAATCTCCAACTTCTGTGACTCAACACACTTTAAACACTTATAAGATTGAAACACCAGCACTGAAAAATAGTTTGATTTATACTTTCTAGCCAAAACAGCAGATTTTCTTCATATCCTAAAGACTAGCATAGACTTACCTGAAGAGAAAATTAAAAATTCGTTTCTTACACAGCTAGTGTTTTTTGCATTTCTGCTAATCAGTCCAAATTTCTATTTCAGGCACTTAGTCTCCGGCTAATTTTGTGTTTCAATTGAAAATTCATCTCTTAAAAACTTTTTAATTAGCACTTCTTTCAAGTTGTATAATTGTTAATTAGTTGCTCTCTGTTAATTTTAAGTTTGCTGGCACAGTGCTTTGAGACTTTATAAATAGCCCACTTCATACTGGTTTGTATTATTGTAACGTGGCACATCTAGCAGGGCAGAGATGCATCAGGGAAGGGAGTGGTATTCCTTTGAAATCCATTTCACTAATAAGTCCTACAGATTATAAACTGAAACCAGTATGAACTCAGTAAAAACAATTAGATTCTATTATTAGCAAATAATACAGATTATCGTATTGACAACAGGTAGCCACCAAAGCTGCTCTATCACTTCCTTCCTCAGCTCGACAGGGGAGAGAAAATATGACAAAAGGCTCATAGGTTGATATAAGGGCAGCAAGAAACCACTTACAAGTTACTGTCATGGGCAGAACAGACTTGACTTGGGGAAAATAATTCTAAATCTGAGCAGGATAACGTGAAATAAAAACAAGTCTTAGAACACCTTCTCCCCATGCCTCCTTTCTTCCCAGGCTTAAGTTTACGAACAATTTTCTCTACTTCCTCTCCCACAGCAGCAAAAGGGGGACAGAGAATGTGGGTTGTGGTCAGTTCATCACACATTGTCACTGTTCCTCCTTCCTCCTCACACCCTTCCTCTGCTCCAGTGGCACCTACAGGAGATAGTCCTTTGCAAACTTCTCTAAACTGGGTCCGTTCCACAGGATGCAGTCCTTCAGGAACAGGCTGCTCCAGCGTGGGTCCCCCGTGGGGTCACAAGTCCTGCCAGCAAACCTGCTCCAGCATGGGCTCCTCTCTCCACGGGGCTGCAGATCCTGCCAGGAGCCTGCTCCAGTGTGGGCTTCCCACAGGGTCACAGCCTCCTTCAAGTGCACCCACCTGCTTTAGCATGGGCTCCTCCACAGGCTGCAGATGGATCTCTGCTCCCCACGGACCTCTGTGGGCTGCAGGGGCACAGCTGCCTCCCCATGGGCTGCACCATGGGCTGCAGGGGAACCTCAGCTCTGGCCCCTGGAGCACCTCCCTCTCCTCCTTCTGCCCTGACCTGGGTATCTGCAGGGCTGTCCCTCTCACACATTCTCACTCCTCTCTCCCAGATGCTGTTGCACAGCAGTCTTTACCCCTTCTTAGATATGCTAGTATGGAGCCACTACCAATGGCACTGTTTGGCTCAGCCTTGGCCAGCAGCAGGTCCACCTTGGAGCCGGCTGGTGTTGGCTCCATTAGGGACAGGAGAAGCTTCTAGCAGCTTCTTCCAGCAGTTTCTCACAGAAGCCAGCCCTGTAGCACCCCACCACCAAAACCTTGCCATGTGAACCTAATGCATTTATCAAAATTATTCCAATCTATATTAATACATTGTGGTAGTAGTCACGTGTCTAAATTGGGTTTGGGTTGAATAGCACCAATGACTTTTCAAATAGAAACAAGTGACAAATTAGATGCAGTACAACAGTTAAAAAACATAGTGGGACTCTTCTACTCATCATTAAGAAACAGCAAGACAAATGTCACAAATGTAAGAGACAACATGCAAAAGGAGCAGAAACAAACAGGGGGAGCAGGAAGGTCACAGCTCACTGCCTGCAATCCTATGCTTTGGAAGTACAGCACAGTAGTGCCTGTAGAGATTTTTAGAACCTTTCCCCTAGAAAGGAGAAAATACAGGAATTTTTGCTGGAGAATTTCAATGACAGGCAATAAAGGCTGCAAATTTGGGAACTGAAAGTGGGAAGTTGGTATAAAATATATTATTAGACCATCCGGGAACTACAACATAATTAAATCAACTAAAAAGGCAGGAAAAAAGACAACTAACCTAAAAAGCTAAACTAAAAAGAAGAGATGGCAGAATATCCATGCTGGGAGGCCTCAACTGAGTGCAAAAAAAAAAAGTGATCTACTAGTATATATTTTAAATAACACATGAGATATTAAATCCAACTTTTTGCAATAACTTTTGATGGTATCTCAGGGATGAAAATTTGTGGGTTTTTTTTAATTGACATCAAAATTCACTGCAAAAGCAGAAGAGTTGTAGCTTTTGTGGCTTTTACAGACATGTAAAGCAATCTGTGTGAAAACATGAACTCATGCACATACAACATTCTGAGTATCAGTAGTTATTGTCACTAACACTGGAGAATAACTACTACTGCAACTAACATGAGAATATTTTAGCTGCCCTCAGACTTCATAACTTTAATTCACTATTCTTAGCTTCTCCCAACAGAAAAGTCTTTCAAAAAGCTTTTACGTACTGTAGAGAAGAGGTGGCTGGAATACTGTCACTACAGTCTTTGATGGCTAGATAAGTAAAGGACTTGTTTCTCCAAAATTAACACTTTCACAAGCACTTCAAATATCAGCACTTAAATACGCGGAGATGAACGTGCTAAACCTGATAAATCGTGGCACGCTACCAAGTGTATGTGTTTGCCTCCCTCTACCGGATCACATCTGTATAGCTACTGCCCGTACTGCACTTGCTGGCTGAAAAGCACACACAGACATGTTTTGTGTCACAACTCTGATCTTTGTATCATTTAAACCCAGGATTAAATTATCCCAATTTCGGAAACAGATTTTCAGTGCCCAAGGTGAAGGCACTCGCCTGATCTGTATAAATAAGGCAATTTTATCTTTGTTAAAGCAGAGTTTTTCTCACTTCTCACAGCATGACATTCTTGATGGGCAGAAAAGAACTGTCTGAAATTCAACGAAGGGGAAAAGGTCCTGCACCTGGGGAAGAATAACCTCACACACCTGGACAGGCTGGGGGCTGACCTGCTGGAAAGTAGCTCTGCAGAGAATGAACTGGGGGTCCTGGTGAACAACAAGCTGTCCAAAATCTGATGCAAAATGATGAAAGAAAAATGCTAGAAAAAGTGTTATCAGTACCCGTGAAGTTACAACACTTGTATTATGCTCTTTCCTTCAAAAATTTGCCTCTTTGGTGAATGCAAGTACCTTCCTCTTACTTCTCAGCACATTTTTGCCCTTTTAACCCCTTTCAGCTGAAAATCTACATTCTCTGTTTGAAAAGAGTTACTTTTCTCTTTTCACTAAGACTGATCTCCAGAAACTTAGAATTGCTGCAATGGATCAGGGCCAAGACCGACCTTGAGGTTCTTGGCATTCTACCCCTGCTATTTGTAATAAATGACCACAACTTCACAATATACGCACACATGTTAATGAATATCCACATTCTGCCTCTCCAAAATGAAGTACACATACTGGCTTTAACTCTGAAAAATTGCACT